AACAATCAGTCAGTTAGTATTGAATCTCTCATCTATGTATATATGTAAATATTCTATTTTGAGACACGAGTTGCCTTTTTGGCCAGGTTTTTATCAGTTAAGTTGTTTTATAACCTTGCATTGCATTGAGTTATTCTGTTGAGTTAGGTTTCCGCTGAGTTAAGAGTCAGGCCAAGGGTTCGCTTGGGGCCAGCAATGGTCTCCATGTGTCGGTCCCGCCCATGGTGTAGGCTCGGGGCGTGACATACCAATTGTGCGGAAACGTGAAATTAAAGAACAAGGAAGAACAACAATATTTAATGTGGTTCGGATCAAAATGATCCTACGTCCACCAAAGAACAACTGCACCAATATTTATTTCACTCTGCAAAGAATACAAGTGAAATACTACAAGAGAGAGAACATCAAATGCCTTAGAAGGTGAGAAGGCAAGTGAAAGGATGATTTGAAAATGAATTAAGAGCTACCTATTTATAGGAATGAATTCTTCCTATTGATGTCATCCATGACATCACTATGTGCCAAAAATGTCAAGGTTAAATATGTGCATTTTATGGTTTACCTAAATTTCACCTATCAAGATATTATCTTGACTTTTATTTTGCACTAATTATCTTCCTATCAAATCTTCATATTAATTCATCTTCCATTGAGTTTGATTCCACAAGAACCAAACCAACTATTTCAATCTCCACCTTGATTTGCGTTCCGAGCATCCATAGAAACAACTCCGGCCAAAACTTCTAAGCTTACTAGGCAATCCCGTTATAAGAAACAAGAAGAATCAAACCTTGGTTGAACATACTAGCTTCACCTAGCAGTTTAAACTTACTAAAGATGGCTATGTCTCTAAGCCATTCAAACAGTGGTTGTTAACTATAACATTCACCTGTCTCATACTAATCTACTGACGTGCCTTTGATCCTGCATGACATTAAGTTTTCATGAGAAAAGATACTCAAGCAAACTAGAAAACTATTGTCACATTCAGTAGACCTTACTTATATTGACATTTTATGCAAATTTGTTGAACTCTTTGGTTCTTTTAGGTGGCGTAGTGGACTTATTGGTTATCTTGGGCATTGCCAATGCTTTTGGTAACTCCTCTGCATCTTTTGATGAATATTTATAAAAAAATAAATGTTTCCTCATCTTATTTCTTGATAAAAGCCTGATTTTACTTCCACTATAACTACATCACAATCAATATATCTTTTCCCATGGTTACAGTAGAAAATTTCCCAATCTTTTGGTGTTGATGTAATATTATTGATAGTTCAACAGTGTTATCTTTTTTCCAAAATAAGGAACTGGAGAGTAATAGTTTTGTGTGTCTTCCTCTCTTGAATGGACAGAAGACGAGGAAACGGAGGAGGAGGCGGAAAAAACACCAAATAAGCGGATGTTTCTTCAAGCTCCATAGCAGACTCTGAAAACCATGTTGCGAGTGCAAGAACAAAGATAGTTTCAGCTCTCGAGTTATTAGTTGCAGTTGTTGAGTTGAAATAAATGACTAATATATAGCAGTTGCTTGAGAATATTCTACTACCAATTGTAATGTCAGCTTGCCATCAAAGCGGCACTTTTAAGAATGCCAACCAGAAACTTTCCACTTCAAAACAATTACATCGGAAGTGGATTAGCAAGGTCATAAAAGACGAGGTAAATGGCTAATTATCCTACTAAAGTTGTTTAGCACAATACACAGATATATCTTATCTGTACCAAGAGAACACTCTCTTCGTATTCAAAAATTGATGTTTGAAAGTTATAAGCAGATGAGATGCAAAAATTGAAGACATAACAAACTGAATTCCTACAGGTGTGTGTAGAACTGTGTCAAACAAATAAGTAAGCATTCAATTTTATTTTAGATATATGAGTTATTTCTACAGTAATCAAGTGTGACAAATATCTGATTAATTCAAAAATATGTACTGTGGACATATTTAAGCTAGCTCCAGACTCTGGGTGTCGGTAATAGGAAAAAACAGAATTGAGATTGTCAATGCTGGCATAAAGGTTTGCTAAGATGCAAAGATTGTTATTTTCAGAGCAATTGAGTATTACATATATTTGATTACTTCACATGGTCTGTGTTGTGAATATCAATTGATAGATAAGCAAGGTCAGACCATTTCACATTAATGTGGTAGTGGTACATACATCCAAATTATAGTTCTCACATACGCGACTCTCGACATATAAAATTTTAATAAGATATTGGCAATCTTATAAATTCCAACATCTTTGATGGTATCTACTTTCTTATTTGGAAGTAAAAGTAGCAAAAGGTGTAGCTCCCAAGATTGCTTATTAGAGACATGATTAGTAGTATGGTGATGGGTAATTCAGTAGATTGGATGTTTGTATTTGTTTTACTCTTGAGAGTGATTATATAGTTTTGGTGTCTTGTGGTATTGTACTGGAGAATGATTAATTTGTTGCATGTACACTGCAAAATTTTCCTGATAACTCTAACATTGTAATATTTTCAACTAATTTTCTTATCAAATGAGATGGGTAATGAGAATCAGATATCAAGATGGCTAAAATTCTCTCTTTTGCAGGACTATAATGAAGATGGAGATCTTTCAATGACCAAGTTCTCTTATTCGGTTCATACACTAGCAGTTAAAAAAGTTCTCATCTGGAGATCATCTCAACTACACTTATTAACTAGATCTTCCGTGCCACATATTTTTGGATTTAGGTTAGCCGCTAAGATTCCTTACTTATTTTTCTCAACAAGAATTTTCAAGCAGAGAGGCAAGCTCGGCCATGTTGCAATTATTTAACAAGAGTAGTATGGAAATCTGTTGCTCGATTTAGATGTTCATCGTCTTATCACTTTCGTTTCGTCTTCCAGTTCTAATTTCGAGTCATCAAAACTATGAAGATTACAATTTTTTGTAATTTTGTTTACCCTTGAAGAGAGCTGCATGTTTTTGGTCCTTATTGAGAGAGATACTGCTGCACAATTTAAGATGACTATTCCTTTTTTCCGTGCATTTTAAATATATGTATATCAAGAATGTTGTCTTGATGTGCAATCAAGGAATAAGGAGGTAACTAAGCTCAGTCAAGAGGTTACCTTTTCCGATCCCTCTTTTTCTTGTTCAAGTTAATTAATTGTTTGTAACTCAAGTGTTGGTAAATGTCTTTTTCTTTTTAATGCCCATGGGATGTAATGTGTAAGCCAATTGATGAGTCAAACAGAATTAAACTTAGTAAACAATCAAGAAAATAGCTCTCTTAGTCTCTTGGAAGTCGAGCAAATTAATAAAGCAAAAAGTTACAACTATATATACCAACTGATTGTAAATGAATTGACAAAAGACGATTGTGATTTCAAAGAAGTCGAACCATCTTACGGTTGTTTTAGCTCATGAAAAAGCTTGTACTGGATACAAAATTATAAGATATATTAGGGGTACATAAACCTCAAAGTTGTCACTTTTGCATCTTTATGTTGTCCTTATAATTTATCAAATTGAACGATATAAATAAACAATGATGTAGCGCAAGGACTCGTATTTTAGTTTTTATTATTTTATTTTTTTATATATAGAAGAGCGAATGGTGGGACGGCCAATGACATATTTGTAATTATATTGTCATGCAAGGGTAAGTAATAAATATTGATAAAAAATATGTACAACCAATGCAGTTCAATATTATGTCCCTATCTAAACCCTCAAGATTGTTCTGGAAACATCTTGTTATTTCCAAAGGGATCCACAAGAATTCAAAAAATATGGATTCCTTCACCGTTCTTCATTCTTTCAAGTTTCTCGCCATTTTGTTGCAATTCCAGGTCAGTGTTTCTTTCAATTTTCCCCTAATTAAGTTTCACTTCTCTTTGAATTCCCAAATTTCATGGTTGTTATCCTTTTTATCCTGCTTATTTTTTATTTTATTTTCATTTACATGCTTTTATTTTTCTTCAAAAATATATATTTCATCTATATTCTAAATACAAAAAGATTCATCAGTATTCTCACTTCTCTTCATCGAAGGAAAGACCAAAATAAACTTAAGTTGTCGGTTCAAGAAGTTGGTCAAATTTTTAGTTACAATATAATTAGCTTTTCAAATTGTAAATTATTTGTGAATAATGAAGAAGCATTTAAAGTAATATTTATTTTTCATGTTCCCTCCAAATGGGATAAAACTTGGAATGCTACTAATTTCATTTGGCTTAGCCCTATTTTTCTTGCGATGGATTCTTTCGGCAACACTTGAAGCCCTTAAAAGGGAAAAATTGTGGTCTTTTGCTAGGATTTGATAGAACATTTTTCGAATTCTAGTTTTAAATATTATAAGCAAATAAAAATAGATATAAATATTAAGATGGTAATACCTTGCCTTTTTTTTATATTGTTTTCTTCTTCTTTTTACTTACATTTACTACATTTAGGCCGAGGATTTTTCGGAAATAATCTCTCTACCCCATGAGACTATGGTAAGATTTGTATACACTCTAACCTTCAGACATCACTTGTGGGATTTCACTAGATATGTTATTGCTGTTCCTTTTTGACGCTTTCAAAATTTAAAGGACTTGTCATGCTTCCCTATAGATTGTTATGGTTTTTCTTTTTGGGTGTTTAATCTAATATCGTGGACTTCTCAAACTTTTCACGATATATTAATGGTACTTCAATTTTATTTTTATTTTTTTTGCACAACTTCATGTGCTATGTTGCTTCATCTATTATAGACAGCTCTTACAATGTGACAATGATGTGTTATAGAATATTGTTTACATTTTGAATACCATTCATGTGTGCCTGTGTGTTTTATTTCGTTTGCACTTAGTCTGTATTGCTAATTTGATGATCCAATTTAGACCATTTATATGCAATACCAAAATCATTGAAATTTGTTTAACGATACATTACTATTAAAGGTATACATTAATATTTTCATAAAAATATTTCATGGTCTATGGAAAGAACTTACCATATTATTATTGCTGAAAGAACTGATAACAAAATCATTAGAACTATGCGACGTCTGTTATTAATATAGCATCTGGTGCTCCTCTTTTATTAGTGCAGGGTAAATCAATATTAATACTTTTGTGTGTTTTGAGAAGTAACTGGCAGAGTTCCTATTTCAGATGCAAACTTTACTAATTCAGATTGTTTTGGTACGATAAAGACTAATTTATGTTTGGTCTGAAATACTAGGTGCACCATTCTTGATTCGAAGTGTAATGTGAAAGTAAGCATAAACTAAGTTCTGTGTTCTATTTTTTCAACAGTAAGTTTCAATAATCTATTTATCTGCATTGTTGCTACATAACAAATAATTATTAGTCTTATTCGAAAACCATTTAACCAATAAAAAAGCAACACTCCTCGAAATTTTCTATACCTATTTCTTGTATCAATTGACAAAATGTTTGTCTAAAATTCAGTAACCTATTTCGATTTTCTTTGATTTTGAGTTTATATACTTTTTTTAGAAAGATTTTGGATTTATCTAATGCGGGTTTAGCTAGACGTTGTGAATGCAGTTTATGAAAAAGTTTTCTTTAATTGTGCAAGACTTTTAGCTTTTAAATCAGATTATTATTTCTGTTCTCATTATATTAGATTAAGATTTTAATTTGATTATAGGATGGATAAGTTGAGATTGTAATGCCTAGAGATGTCTAATTTTTTCCTATCATGAGGGCTGACTCAATTGCTATAAAGAAAACCTGAAGCAATGTATGTGTATTACCCATATGATGATCAAATACGAACCCACTTAGATAGATAATGTGTCTATTTGTTAATGCATTTCTGTTTCTATCAAGAAGACATGTGATTAGATGTTGTCTATAATTATATTTGAAGTGAACTTCTTAAAACCTAACACCGGAAAGTAGTTGATTCATATTGGTTAAGAAGACAAAACACATACCAAGTTAACTTAAGATGATGAGTGTTATCATGTAAACAGTAAATATTTGAGAATCTTTGTCTGTTTGTTGAGTATGAGGACGAGAGATAAGCCTGTGGCTAATCAACATCATTTTCTTCTTGTAAATGGATAGAGAGAATGTTCTATCAAGATTAAAGTTTTATTATGCATGTAGCTTATTAGTATATTATAACAGACGATACTGAACTATGTCTACTATAGTTAAATTATACAAGAGCATAACTGCAGGGATTTATGTTCATTGTCACCAATTACTCCTTGATGTTCAAAAAAAATGTGAGTATATGTTTGACATCTTTAGAGGTCATTAAGACTTTCTTTATATCTTAAGGCATATGAATTTTACTCTTGATTGTGATGTTAAATTGTGTAGTTACTCCCCTGAAGATGGATGTCAACTAAAGATGAAAAGTAATTTAAAAGATTGGAAGTTAGCTGCTCTAACTGATCGTCCTTTGCTCATGCAGGGAATGGAGGTAATCGAGATGAAAGAGATAAGAGTATGGTGATGTGAAAATATTGGAGAATGGCTAGAAAAATATACTTAGAAAAGCATGAAAAGGACGACCAAGGGTAAGAATGTCATTTGACCTATATTTTAACTACTACATTGGTATCTTACTATATGTCTTCCCGGCCCTTCCTCTCCATCTCCATCTCTTTTTCTCTCTCCTTCTCTCTTTAGAAATAAACACTGAACTTTTACCTTACAACACTTAACAAATTCTAATTCAAATTACGATTTATGGGTACTTGAATATTTATTTTTCTGTCTGTTGATTCTAACTCAGGATTTTGGGGAAATTTTCTTGGAGCTCAAGGAAAGAACCATGAAGCTACATAACATAATCAAAGAGGCCCTAAATCCACTGTACCTTAACAACGTTCACATACAAGCCGATCAATGGCTACAGGATTTTCAACACACTATTGATGCTTGACAGGTTTGATAACTTTTATCTAATTATTATTGTTAGGTCTCTCTAAATTTAATTAATAGGAACAATTGTTAAGAGAAATGAGATATAGATTTCAATTTTGAGTATGTCATTACCGTGCTTATTAATAATTTTGATTTATATGAAGCGGACAAGAAAAAAGAAATTTTCATTTCAAATTGGCTCGAATAGTGGAATGGATAAAGATGATTTTGATAGTGAAACCAACTAATTTGGGATTGCGATATACTTCATTGATTTATTTTTCATTGGATTTATGGTTTTCAAATAAAAGAAACTTCCTACATAAGTGGTGAAAGAATTAAAGAACCATTTATCTATAGTAATATAAATTGAACAATTTTCTTAATTTTCGACTTCTTAATTTCGCTTGCTCCATCAGTCGTATACTACAGATTAAGTACGAAAGAATTAGAGAAAGTATACGATATCAATTAGGAATAATTCTACTAGAGGTACTAATCAACTCAATATGAAATAGAAAATGTGAAACTTCATGTAACAACGATAAAACCCTCTATTACTTGAACACTCAATATTGTTGGTCTCCTAATAGAAGGATTTTTATATCTAAGGAAGGTTATGGTTCTGGTGATATAATTTATAGTACTGTTAGATTATGTGTTGATTCTACTGGTAGACACAGAGCAGTAGACATAAGATTGACTTCCAAAAGATAATGCTAGGACATGATGCAACAAAACTGAAAACATTCTTCTTATACCCACCTCTCTCCTAATGCATTACTTTTATTGTGTTGTAGAACATCATTTATGATAACTTCTTAAAATATTTTTATATTAAAGTCAACAGCATAGGACAAACAATGTAATATTTAATTGTAAAAGATGTTACGTGAATTACACTACAAACTAGACTTATCTTATTGATAAACGAAGACACGTGTACTGCGCTCTTTTAATTTAGCAAACCAGTTCTGTTTTTCCAAATACCCACAATATTATATTATGTATCCCTGTGTCCAATTTTCCTTCCTTCAGTGGTACAGTTCTTCAATTTATTTGGGTAATTTTTTCAAATCTTATGTTCTTCTATTTCTTTTCATAAGTACAGTTTTGTGCTTATATTGTATTTAATGTGCACCCTTGATTCTGCTAGACTGTATCTCCAGATAATAATTTAGTGATTATTCTCCAAAGCTAAAATCTTCTTTTCTTTCTTTGATTTTTCCTATTTAATTTTCAAGTTATATATCCTTGGTTGTACTGTATTTTTCCACTCTTGTGATTATTCTTCTATTCTTAAGGGTAAGACATTCCATTGTTTCTTATAGGACTTTAACGGGTATGTGTTAGCTTTGTCCTCCTCTTGGATAACTTTTATTGGAATATTTTCATGCAAGTTATGAATTTTGTCCCATGTGCTCATGTGTGGTTCAATTTTCTCACAAACAGCTAATTCTACTTATGTCATAACAATATTCTTGAATTATGTTTCTGTCACACCCCACCCTAGGTTGGGCGGACAAGTACCATATGAACCCATGCTTTACAAGTGACCTATGACGAGAAAGTGAACTACTATGCATATAGATTTGCTACTGAGAAGCTACATATACAACACATGTCGACTAGCTGAACCAATACATGTGACAGGTAAAACTATGAATACATATAATAGTTTTAAAATGTCTACAAAGCCTCTACTAGAATCCATGACTGTACAACTATCAAAATACGCATAGTAAAGACTCGGCAAAGCCCCGAATCAACCTGGAGCTCACCAACAACCGCTGAGTATCAAGTGCTTCTATAGGGAAGATCTACTAGTTGAGTACATCTACCTGCAGCATGGAATGCACCATCCCCAATAAGGGACGTCAGTACGAAAGAATGTACTGAATATGTAAGGCATAATACAACCATATGTAAAATGAGAGCTCAAGTGAAATCAAATACAAATAGGTAAGGATTAGAGACCACCTTTGCTTATACTTTTGGAATCGTGTATGTTACATTTTTTTCTTTACTTTTTTGTGTGTTCTAATCTTTATAAGGCATATGATACAAATGACCAGCTGATCAGTGGTAGAAGAGGATGAACCATGCTAGGTATTTAACCCCTGAGATGTTGTCCTGATAATTCAATGAACTGGGATCGGCCCATGTTAGGCTTTTACCCCTGAGCTGTCACCCTTCTATACCAATTGCGATCGGCCCATGGTAGGCTTTCGCCCCTGAGCTGCCACCCTTCCATATCAATTAGGATCGACCCATGCTAGGCATTTGCCCTTGGGCTGCCACCCATCATTATACAAATTGCTTCACTTAGATTCTTTAATCTTTGAGATTGTTGTTTTGATGTTCATAACTCCTTTAAGATTATTCATTTGATGATTATTACTCTTTTGAGATTGTTATTTTGGTGGTCATAATCATTGTTGATATTTGGAACTATGGACCAGTAGTAGAAGACATGTGAATATGGACTTACGATAATAACAATGACATGGGAAGCAAATGTGACACCAACGTAAAACTTAGGAACCTATATGACTCGGTAAGCATTTTGACATCTCAAAATTGAAGCACATATCTAGTGAAGACATTTAACATTCAACCAAGAGATTTGAACTCTATATGGTATCCAAATACTCACTAACTAATATCAAATACAAGGTACACATGAAAGTGGAACCAAGGGAGAACGTAGGCAGATTCAACTTAAGGACGGATACATATTCGAAGTACGTACATATAAAATGTACAATAGAGCAACTAGCGATCTTATGAGGTTACATAATAGTCTAACACAATGGGAGTAATAACCAATAAAGGGAACATATGAACATGTGACAAGATGACATATATGATGGAATACACAATTGAAGGAAGTTGGCTTGATATGGGCAGATTGTATATCCAACATATAAACATATGTACCATGTGTAATTTAGGATCACTTTAATTTATATAAGGGGAATACGTGCCAAGTGTACTTTGACGATGAAACACGTTTAAACCTTGCATGCTAATACTTGGTAGAGTAAGCACACACATTTAGTAATAAACTCATATTAGAGTACTCACTTTAATGCTCTAGGGAGTAGCCAGTCACTACCAAGGACACTTAGAAAGTTTACTTTTTGTAATACAAGTGTTGGATTCATGCCAAAGAAATAGGAAATCAAATAGCCTTGCATACCTTGTTGCACAACTTTGGATATTACAATGAGTTAACTGTCTTCCTTTCAGATTATTTATCTTGCTGGACAGAAACCTCACTTGCTAAGACTTGGATTCTTCAAGGTTTAGCTAGGTTGTCCTCTCCCCCATAACTTGATATTAAATAAGATTATTCACCTGAATTCCTTAAGATGGGATATGTTCTACTAACTTGTACTTTAAAAAGAAAGTCTTTGCTTCAGATTTTAATGGTGAAGCTATAGACCAGAACTCTTGGAGCTTCTATGGATTTCCTTGGGGGCAATTTTCTGAGAAAAAGTGATGAAGGAGATGTGATAAGTTTGAGTGTTTTAGAGGTCCCTTTTGGACGTTTTCACTTATTAAATTGGAGATATAATATAGTCCTTTACTTTTAAGCAAGCAGGTGCATCGCCTCCTTAATTTCTGCAACAAGTTTTTAAGTAGGTGGATCACCTACTTGCCTTTTTCACTTAAAATGAAGTCCACTAATTCTAAGTAGGTGCATCACCTACTTTGCCCTTTCCACTTAGAATGCAGTCCACTAATTCTAAGTAGGTGTATCACCTACTTGTCACCAACTAGCACAGTTTAGTCAAGCAAGAACCTCATTTATTTTACACCATTTTCTCAATCTTAGTTTCTTTACAAGACTGTAACACTAATACGCACTTGACCACTTTGACTCTTACATCAAATACCACCTTTTACTATCTCACTTTAAACAAATTCTATTGTCACTAGTCGCATAAGAATCTGAGACCATAACTATAGCACAAGGCAACGTAGAATACGGGGTGTTACATCCTTCCCCCCTTATGATCATTCGTCCTCGAATGATAGGTGTAGTTGATAGTTTGGTTAATCTTGAATTTCATTTGGAGATTTGCGAGAGTTCCCTTTGTAAACAGGACTATCCAAAATCTATAGAATAATCTAAAACACATAGAAAAGTCTTGCATGATGTCTCACTAGATATGGTTCATGAAATATAAATATGACTAATTAAACCCCTTTCTTGACCATATAATTCATTGATGATACACAAGTAGAACTAATACAAATAAGGAATTTAATATACCTACTAAACACAAAACATGCAAATGACATATCAAATGAACAAATGCTAGTAGGACTTATGATCATATAAGGGGACCACATGATCTCAGATCCTTATGTTGATGTTTAGAACGAGGAGGGGTATTTAGGATCTCTACCATCTTTTATTCCCAAGTATCTTACGTTATATTCTAGTCCTTTCACAATACCTCAATGGAGGTTACACCTTTTGTGCTTAGCTTCCGGGCCTTACCAATCAAGAATAACTATATTATTTCCTAAAAAAAACTATGTGGAACGGACACATAAAATCATAAGCCTAACCTATCAGGGCTCTACTTTCCCTTCTCCTTTATCTTATGACCTTTTTCAGAGGTGAGTCTTATAATAACGCATCCGTGTTAATATAAACACTAAATTTTATGTCGCACCCTCGGATGAGGCATTATGCTAAGTAATTTATCTATGGTTGTGATAAAATTTACATATATGCCCAACCTTTTCTGGTCAAAATCTTCACTACATAATGATACAAGGAAACGTTTCCCAAAATGTTCAAAACTCAAGTCAATAAGCACAGAGGGGTATGATACATAGGCAGACTAGCACAAAAGGGAGCGCATAATATACGGGCATTAAGCTATATAAATATGTGGTGTATGTGCGCATATGAATTATAGGGTAGCGTGTGAGCTAATGTACTATAAGGCATTTAGCAAATGGACTAGATGAGCACATGACACATGGCCATAAAAGCTATAA